ACATATATATATACACATATATATATATACACACACATATATATATATATATATATACACATATACATATACATATACACATATACATATACACACATATATATATATATATAGTATATATACACATATACACATATATATACACACATATACATATATATATATATATATGTATATGTAGATAGATGGTAGTACTGATCTGACTATCAGTGTCAAAGCAGACATGTGACTTTAACACCCTGTAGTTGTACTTCAACTGTTTTACATTCTCCTACTGCCCTCTCTAGGACAGTTTCTGTCAAAAGTCTTGCTGGTTGAGCCAGAAACTTTCCCTTTTTCACTTTCACTTTTAGAACTTGTGTGAAAATCTGATGTTTTAAGTCATATTTATGCAGAAATATAGAAAATTCTAGAGTTCACAAACTGTCAAGCACTACTGTGTGTATAAGTACACAGCTTATGGTTAAGTAGTTGATGTGTAAGTATATTGTGTGTACGTGAGAAGTGAATGAACTCTGGTCAGGTAGTCTGCTGACATGAGCTCATCTCTTGTTCTGCAAGGCTTCCTCTGTCTGAAGAGCCATCATCCATGGAGGTCTGGAATAGAATAAGAGCAGAAAAGGTTATGTACAAAACTGAAAGAAAACAGATAATAGTAACATTGTTTTTTTCTTCTTTCAGCTGCTCCCTTTTTCAGGGTTTGTCACAGTGAACTGTTGCACAAAGACTTGGCAATTTTTTTCATGCTGGATGCCCTTCCTGATGCATCCACAGACCACTGAGTGACCACAGCCATCTGCGAGGAGCAGGGCACTGACTTCTGGGTTGGCCCAGGGGAGCAGATGGTTGGGATTAAAGGCCTTGCTCAAGGGCCCAGAGTGGGGAAATGAGGGTAGAAGCAGGCGTTGTCGGTCTGGGGAGTTGAACTGGCGACTATCCAATCACAGGCTCATCTTTAACTTCTGCGCCACCTCTCCCCACAGATAATAGTAAAGTGTAATACGTAAAACATAAGAAATAAGTCACAATTTAGTAATATTCTTGTATACCTATTCTTTTTGTATTTGCTCTTCCACTTGTTTCATCTTGCCACTCTAAAAGACTGCCTCTAATTATTTAACTAGTTTCTTCTGCTGATAAAATGCCAAGCGGAGGAAGTGGAGGGAGCTTGTGGGTCCTCGTCCCCTTTAAATTTTTTGAATAAAGTAGATTCTATTTCCTGCATTTTGGTGTAGCCTATTTTAACAGGTTGTTAAACATCTACGTTTACCTACATTTGTAAACACTTGATTAAATTACTATTTTGGAGAGCAACAACAGATTGTGTGTGAAGAGCAGATCTGATTCTGTCATGCGTCCTACACCCACCCCACGCACACACTTCATGTTTCTGAGCCGAACTCTTCTCTGATGATTTCATTCCTGTGCGTTCTTGCTCCTGCTGCTCCTGCTGCTCCTGCTGCTCCAACCTCAATTACGACTGACTCCTCTGTTGTCCAACTAACGACAATCCATCCATTCATCCATCCATTTATTTATGAAAGTAACTTGGACTGTCTTTTCGCCATTTTGGTTGCAGTTATTTTGATGAATTAGCGCCGTTGTTGTGATATGTGATTAATGTGAATGATACACATCAAACATTTCTCTTGCTGTATTTTTTAATTTTTTTTTACTGTAGCTAATCTTTATTTTTATTATTTATTTATGTCTGATAAGTATGCGTGAGTTCACATCAGCAGTTCGTGCTCAGAAATGTCTGGAGATGATGCTGTGCGTAAAGTATGGCAAGCCAAGTGGTCCATTAATAGCCACTTTTACCACATGTATGGCTATTAATAGGCCACTTGGCTTGCCATAACTAGGAAAACACTTCAGCCCTGCGGGACATGGCCGTCCACGTCTCTGCTGGGCAGGAGCATGTGCCTGCTGCAGCTGTAATATCCATTCCACAGACTGGGCAACGTCTCCTCTCGTTGTATTATTAATAAATAATCAAAATTAAAAATGCGCAATGACTTTAGACTTTTAGGGGCGGATATTTGAGTTGCTGGATGCGAGCAAACAGTTTCCGGAACCGGTCAAAAAAATGAGGGAGTTCCCGGATCTTGTTCCGGCAGGTTCAAATAAAGCACTGGGGCCACTGTACATTCCTGATGCAAATTAAACATCCAAGATGCCCTTCTTAGCTGAAAAAGAAAAAAACATGATAACTCAGCTATTTTAAAAAACACTGAGCTGAAATTTAGTGTGGTGGTAGCTGACAGCGATGCTCAACACATTCTGAATTAAAATCTAAATGGCCACCTGAGCTAAAAAAGTACAATAAATCAGCAATTCACTGATTCTCCTTTTGGATTTCTTGGACCTCCGACTCTCTGGTATCGACACCTTGTTCTCCACCTGACTCTCACCTCTGGACATTAGTCTGGACCACGTTCTGCTCCAACCAGCTCTTCGCTGTATACCTGTCTGCTCTGGTGACGTCATCCTGCCTGATCCCTCCAGGAAACACTCACAAATTCTGCATAAGAAGGTTAGTGACTGTCATTCTGTTTACCTGCCTGCTCATAGAAACTGTCAGTCCACTAATTTTACGTAGCTCTGCAGATTGGGCTCACTCCAGGACATTGACCACAACCAGCAGCATTTTATAAAAAATTTTTTTAACCATTCCTGTTGTTTGACGTCTTGCTAAAATCCATAAAACCAAACCATATCAAACATATTCACTTTTATATATTATAAATGATTATAAAGAAATTGAGTCTTAATTGTATTCAATAAACTTTATTGATCTTAAATCTAATAAATTCAGGTAATATAGCAGCTTGTGAGCAGACCGTCGAATAAAACCAAACACACACAATGGAAATATATGTAGGATCTAAACTGGTCAACACAGCTGCAGAGATTATCAGCCCTCTTGAGGTGGTGCACAGTCTGTACCAGGAGCATAAACCATCACACGTCTTGATGCACATAATTTTTGTCTTGCACGGTATCTGCAGTCATCCAGTCCAAAGGTATTCTGCTGGGCTGCCGAAAATGCAAGGGAGGGAGAAGCAGGTGTTTATCTGAGGGGTTAAAAGATAAGAGATTTAAACCTCATTGTCTTTCACTTTTCAGAATTATAACTTCAGATATTCACTACAGTGTAAAAGTGAATCTTTCCCATACCTAGCAGCCACAGCCGGTCGTATAACACTGAATCAGTTTCAGTGTCTGGGCGCTACTCAAGTCATCATACAGCTTAATGAAGTCACACATTGTGATATGCACTGTCCCATCATCTTCCAGCTTGCCTACAGTTAAAGTACAGAATCAGGAATGAGTTGATGGAATAACTGATCAAAGTCAAGGTTTCTATATTTGTCATACGCACCACACGTGGCACACGTAGAGGAACGAAATTGTGTACACATGCTCCCAGTTACATCCAACTAAAGTACAAAATGTAACAGTAATACGATCTAAGATATGAACTAAGAAAAACGCTAAACTAAATATACACTAAACATTAGTAGTACAAAAACAATACGCTGAACAACAGCAGCACGAACATGAGTCTGTGTGAGCAGATGAGTACGAATGAACACAGTAGCATGAAATAAATCAGCAGCATCATGATGTGATTATTCTAGTTAGAGATTCATGAGTCTAACAGCTTCAGGGAAGAAGCTGTTCCTCAGTCTAGTGGTTCTACACTTAATGCTCCTCAACCTCCTTCCTGAGGGGAGTGGGGCAAAAAGTGTGTGTGCTGGGTGAGTGGGGTCCTTCATGATGCAGGTGACCCTCTTCCTGCATCTGGAGGTGTAAATGTTTGTGATGGTGGGGAGGCTGACTCCAACAGACTTCTGTGCAGCCTTCACCATTCTCTGCAAATCTTTTCTTTCTGCATCTGTGCAGCCTCCATGCCACATGTTGATGCTGGAGCACAGGATGCTCTCCACTGCACACCTGTAGAAGGAGGTGAGGACTGAGCTTCCCAGACCAGCTCACCTCAGCCACCTGAGGAAGTAGAGTCTCTGATGTGCTTTCTTGATCAGGCTGGTGGTGTTGTTGCCCCAGCTGATGTGAATAATTCAGCAACATTTGTGCATTTTACCCCAAATTTCTACCTGTGATTAGATACAGTTTGTCTCCAGTGTCCAGAGTGACTCCACAAGAAGCAGAGGAGGAAGAAGTGTAGACAGCATCAAGTCTCAATCCAGGGCCTTTGAACACCTGAACCAAAAATAAAAAAAAGTTATATTCAAGTTATACAAGTTATAAACAACATAATAACAATGATATGCTGATCCCCCACCCCACCCCATTGCTTAGTGATACATATAGTTAATGTCTGTAGTTTTCAAGATGAATCTTTCTCTGGACTGGAATTTAATGTGGCAACTCCATTTTTGACAGGAACATTACTTATACCTAGATGCAGCTATTCACCAAACTGGTAATCAGTAACTCAGTTATTTTTCAAAATATTCAACTTACATTGTTTACATACAAATTAATATATGATTGCAGCCATTTCCCAATTTTTGAAAGGAACCTTTCTTATGTTTTGATGTACCCACTTGCCAAAATTGAAAATTTTACTTAACTTTTTACATATTTTTCAACTTGTCATTTGAAACATGCACATATGGACAAGTGGAGGGTATTTACAATTTCACTTTTCGCTCCACAACGGGGCCAAAATGCAGTTCATCCAATACCTTAGTCACTTGTATGTCATATTTGATGCTCTTGAATGAGTTTCCCAAAGGGCCATTCCCAATGTCAACCACCTCCTTTCCAGTGACTCTTGCGCTAAAAACTATATATAAAAAAGGAGATATTTACACAGACCGTATGGTGTTAGCATGCTAGAGTTGAGCAGAAACATTCATACAACATGTTCATTCATCAACATGAATTCAGAAACGTTTGCAAAGTTTAGATTTTAAAGGCTTGCTTGTGCCAGGACGATTGAAGCGGCAAGAGTTTCATCAGCTGAAATTAAAGAATGTGTGCTGCCATTTCTCAAGACAACAGGAGGAATGAAGTCAGGACTCTTTGACCAGTCTCCATTTACCTGTAGGTTCCTCATTCATTTTGCCTCTGGATATAGATGGTGACATGCAAACCAAACCGTTTTTCAATTTCAAAATAGCTGTTCAGGAGGAACAAATTCTGACCAGTCACTCCTCCAGATTTTTTTTGCAAATTCCTGTTCAGTCATTTCCTTTCAAGTTAGCAACAACTGATTGCAAGGGACTGTTGACAGTTTTGTATTTCCTGGTAAAGATATTTTTGCATTTACTTGAAGAATAATACTCCATGTTGTGCAAAACTTAACATTTGATGCTGTTCACCACTGAAGCACTGTCCTTTTCATTTAAAAGCTGGATTCTAGCTCAAATGAAGTATCCTGGGAGACAATTCTGAGTTGTGAAAGCTGAAACTTGTCATCGACTAATCATCCATCCATCCATCCATTATCTATACCTGTTTATTCCATTTTGGGTCACGGGGGTCGCTGGTGCCCATGTCCAGCAATCACTGTGCGAGGGGCGGGTTACACCCTGGACAGGTCGCAAGTCCATCACAGGGCCACATAGAGACAAACAACCATGCACTCTCACTCACACCTAGGGACAATTTAGAGTTACCAATCAGCCTAACATGCATGTTTTTGGTCTGTGGGAGGAAACCGGAGTACCCGGAGAAAACCCACGCATGCACGGAGAGAACATGCAAACTCCACCCAGAAGGCCCCTGGACCGGGGTTTGAACCAGGGACCTGTTCGCTGAGAGGCAGCAGCTCTACCAGTTGCGCCACCATGCTGCCCATCGACTAATCAATGTTTTCTAAATAGCATTTAGGTCAAAAAAGGGACAAATGTGAACAGAAGTAAAGTTTACATTTTCTACATGTGAAAATGCATTCAAAATTACAGTAAATCTGCAAAACAAGGCTGTACAATCTATTCAAATGAAAATTAGAGCAACTGTTGTGTGCCACACACACATTCATTTATTTCCTACTAAAGAGGGGTGGAGGGAATCTGGTTTTCCTGTTAGCTGTGCTTGCAGAGCTTGCAATGCTGCATTTATCTTTAAAGTCAGGTTTAACAAAACCTTTGTCAAAGAGGTCAAATATTCCACTTTAGTGATCAAACACATTTTGCAATTACTGAAAAAACTACTAATGCAGAAAATTTACAGTTTACTTAGACTTTCTTCTTTGCTTCAACTATGACCTCCTCATATTTTGACTTTCAAATTTTGATGACACATCTGTATATAAAAACTCTTTTCATGTCTGACTCTAGCAATAAAAGCAAAATATTTAAGCAGACAATTTTCATGTTTCAGAACTCCAGATAGTATGGCTACATCTAAATCTGAGCATTTTAGATATTTCCAGAAATTCTGCCAAGGATGTCCTACAAGATCATTTTTGCACATTTAGTACAAGTTCACCCAGAACCTGTTTGAAAAGGCATCTTTACATGATGTGCATCAAGGCTTAAAGCATAGAAAGATGTAAGTGAAGTCCCAGATTTGAGCTCAAATTTAAGAGATAAGTTGGAGGGATGAAATAATAATACATTTGCCCATTAATTAATCCAATTAAATATTAAAACTTCTCCCTATAACAGCAAAACTACCCTGCGTCTCCCATTTTAAATCACAAGACATCCTCTAACAATGTTTTGTTGGCGATACCAGTCACATTTCCTCATCAGTAAAGTTAAGCAAAAAGTAGTTTCTTCAGTTTCCTGAATCAGAGAATTTCTCGGCTGGAGAAATGTTCAGTTGAAATGTTCAGTTAACTTTTGTATAACAAACAGATTCAGGTTGCTGACATGCTAAAAGTTTCACTTAAAACAGTGACAATTAACTGCTGAGATTTTCATTAGATATAAGATTATAAAAGAAAGTAACAAGCAGTGTTTTGCATAAAGTTCAAACGAGTTACGGTTTTGTTAGTCAGAAATAGAGGAAGTAAAATAAATAAACTACATCGTCCTCTTTTAATAATAAAAATAAGTATGGGATGTTTTATATGAGAATATGGTAAAAACAACAAATTAAAGAAAATGGGATGTTCTGACTGATTCCTTGTAAAAAGGTTAAACTTACCAACATCTGATCTGCAAAAACCTTGTTGAATATTGACAGGGAGACATTTGCAGGCTTCTGCCACATCTTCCACTTGCCAAAGAAACAGGATGGTCAGTGAAACGAAACAGCTTTTCATCATCAGAGTCATCATTGGATGCTGAAGTAGGAGCCAGTTACCAAAATGGGATGTAATCAAACAGAGAGCAGCTTGCACTTCCTCAGATCTGTTCCCTTCTCAAACGAACAGCAGCTTTTATCCCCATCATAACACGTCAGGTCACACCCCCTGATAGTCAGACTCCACCCCTCTTGAGGCGAGAAGCAGAGGCACTGTGAGGTCTGGGACTTGTTGTCTACTGTTGACATTACTCTTTGTTAAAATTCAGGTATCTCTTGTAAATGAGTCCCCGAGGCTTTCAACACTTTATGGGACTCAGGGTAATCCTTAGTGGATAGCTCATCCTTGATGTCATCACTGAGACCTTGAAAAAAAGGCATTGGTCAGAGCCTCCTCATTCCAATGGCTGTCCGCAGCAACAGTGTGCAAATCAATTATATATTCAGTGATACTTCTGCTCCCCTGTTTCAGTGAAAACAACATCCTGGTGGCCTCTCTCTCAGGTAAGATGGGATCAAAGACCCTACAAAGTTCCTTGGAAAAGTATTTGAATGAATAACAAAAATGGTGTCCGATTGCGACTCTGCAGTGCCCCTATAACTTTGCCTTACCTGACAACAGGGATATGATGTAAGCCATCTTGAAACATTCAGAGGAGAATGACGAGGGTTGAAGCTGAAGATGTATCTCACATTTACCTGTTATGAACGGTCGACACTGATAGGGTTCCCCTTTGAACACCGCAGGTGGTGATAGTTGAGGTTCATGTATGAGTGACACATGATTATGAGGTGTGGGTTGGATTGGAGTCACCTGGGGGGAAGCCTGAGAGTTATAGGGATTAGAAAAATTGTGAAGCATGGTCATCATCTTTAGCATATTGTTTTCTAATTTTACAATAGCTCCCTCCACACCAGAGCGCCAATTTTGCATCAGTGTCAAAACCATTTTTGGCCAGATTATACTGACAAGAATCAGATTTTGGATTCAAAAACTCAGCTGGACAACAAGAAAGGTTAAATAATTTATTAGTTTACAGCTGCTGGTGGGAGTCTGAGTTCAAATACGGGAACAAACCTTCTCAGGCAGCCAAAGTGGGTAACACTTGTCGAGTTTGCATAGATGATGTTGTTGTAACTGGTGAAGGTGCAGCAGCAGAGGTACGTGGTAATTATCATGAACAATGGGACAGTCCAGGGTTGTGGTCCATAAGGGTCATGCACACGGAGTCAGAGGTCCTTAAACAAATCCAGAGGGCAGTCCAAAATCCAGAATTCGAGGGGCAAAAAGAATAGTTGTTAACAACATCAGATGGGCAGAGCAATTGCAGATTGAGAGCAGGCAAAAGGGTAAATCCAGAAAATGGGCTTTGGATCAAGACAGGAGTTTCAGAGAAGATCAGAGATTCATATCTGGACTTTTCCTTCCCCCTGTTCACCCTTTCCTACTGCTTCTGCTCTTTGTGTGTCTCGGAGCTCTTGGTACACATCTCCTGAACGAAAAATACTATTATGGATCTGATAAGCTGGATTTTCAACAAAATCAACAAAATCTTTTCAACAAAACAACAGGATCCTTGAGAACTCTCTTGCCTGGCTGATACGCACGCTGTGGGGGTACATCAGAGTACAGCTGATGTATCTCTTAGTTCTGTCTCAGGAGGATGCTGAAGATGTTTATATTTTGGATTTATGATAGCAGGGGTTCTGCTCTTTGGCATTGGCAGGGCTCTGTTTTATCAACTTGAAGAATACATTGGCAGCAGTTTTGACCAAGACAAAGCTTCCGAGTCTGTGTTTGGTACGTGCTATGAGGACTCAAAATCAGCTGATTAATGAGCAAAACTGTAAGATAGAAGCAATTTTTGAGAATCGTAGGCCACCTGTGTCTTCTAGGACTCGACAGCTTATGCGATCGACCTTGAGGAGGCTCATAACACAGATCAGTTGAGTGGAATGCCCATAAATCTGGCCATTTTGGACTAAGAAAGTTCCAAATCTCAACGTCTTGACATCAAATGCATATGTATTCATGCTTATAAATATGCTTGCTGGTAGAGTTTTTTGATGTCTCAAATCGTCTCCTGATAGGACAAGATGTGAAGAGATCTTTTTTTTGTAATACCACTATCCATACTCATAGCCTTTTCCCCTTTTCTACTTTGTATTTAAAAGTATTCTGATAAAGAATAAGGGGTTGAACTATGATAGCAACAGCAACGTGCACTCCGTCCATCTTTCGGATGACAGTACGAACATAATTTCACTGTATCCCGGTACAATGATAATGAAGCCTATTCTATTCTATTCTATTCTATTCTATTCTATTCTATTCTATTCT